GGGACATTTTGAAGTCATCCGTCAATGCATTTGTTCGACCGTTCATGTTTCTCATGTCCATCTGTGCCGGCATCATAGCACCACAGGGAGTCTGCCGAACGGCAACACTGGGAGCACTCGTCTAACATGACTTGTAGTATGCCAGCCATCTTGCACCATGAACCTCATGCACTGATTGCGCATTCGCGTAATCAGAATCAGAGTCAGTATACTCTCGAATGGATAGCTGATTCAGGTGCCGGTCGTGACCTCGCGTCGTGTCGTGCGTTGGAAGAGCAAGGTATGCCGGTCACGGCTATTCAAAAGCAAGTTCAACCAACTAATCCAATCAAGTTCGAAACGGGAAATGGCGCATATGTTAGTGATTCCTGCATCAGTGTCACCGGTTCACAGTTTGGCAATGCAAACTTTCAGATGATGGATGATTGTCCCCTGGTTCGTTCTTTGGGAAAACTTGTAGAGCAAGGTCATCCTTTCGTTTGGATTCCTGGTCAATTGCCATACTTTGGGAACAGTGCGGAATCAGTCCAAGTGGCAGCTAACTCAGAATCCATCACATATGCAAGTAGAGTAGAAGATGGAGCGCCAATTTTCTCAGAGCAATTTCACATGTCAACAGCTTTTGCCCTTCCAGGTGTTGAACCTGAACCGGCTGACGACCCACCAGCACCACCAATCGTTGAAGGTCCAGAAGTACCACCAGCAGCCGGTGTGCGAGAAGAGGGGGGTTCATCAGATGCCGATTCGGAGCGTGAGATGCCTGTGGATAGAATGCGAAGGCTTGTGGCAGAAGCCAACTCTCACGAGCATAGACTGTGTCACTATCCCAAGAACGCTTCGTGTCCAATCTGTCAGCGATCACGAATGTATCGAAAGCGTGTCCGTAAACACAGGCACGACCCGCTTGCAGATCGTGGAGCGCTCGCTCCTGTGACTCAGTTCGGGGAGAGAATTGCAACAGACTTTGTAATAGTCCAAAAGCTAAGTTCAGGGAAAGAACATGTTGTCCAAGTCATTAGAGATGAGTACTCGGGGTGGATCAGGGCTTTTCCTTTGAGTAAGCGAGACACAGCTTCAGTCGTTGGAAACATCCTTGCATTCCTAGGGCCATCCTACGATCAACCTTCAATATAATGGTCAAGTCAGATCAAGCGGTAGAAACCAGGGCAGCTTGTAAACAGTTGGGGTGCACATTTGAGGGAACTCTGGAAAATCGGTTTCCCCATAACTCCACTCTAGAGCGTGACATCCGAACAATCCAGGAAGTCGCAAGAGCTTGCCATCTCCAGGCGGGTTTTGACATTGTGCCAGGCTTGTGGATGCACTCGATTGAATATGCTGCAGTCATGTTCAATGCTCACCAGAAAGCAGCTGGTAAAGATCAGACAAGACACATGCTTGCCGTTGGTGTTGAATTCTCGGGCAGGAAGTTGTTGTTGGGTCAATTGGTTCACTATCATGTGGATGCATCCCAAAGGGGTAAATTTGATCCATCATCCAAACCGGGTTTGTTCGCAGGCTGGAGGTATGATTCAGGGCCACATTCCCACAAAGCTATCTACTATGTCTTGGATTATGGCAGGTTAAAGGAAAGGGGTCCAGGGTATGCAAATGCCATCTCTGTTCCGGCTGAAGAGATGTTTGTTGAGGAAAGGGAGCCGTCACTTCCGTTGAAAAGGGCTGCAGATGACGCTTTGGCAAGATTCACAGACCCGTCGCTAGAAGACATTGCTCCTCTCGACATTCCCTTTTCGGATGTAGCCATTGAAAACAAAATCAAGCGTAACGAATATATCACCCTTGAGCGCATCATTCGCTTTGGCGCCACAGAAGGCTGTCGTGCATGTAGGTTCGAAGCCGAATACAGCAAACACACAGCAATCTGCAGAGCGAGGTTCAACGGACTAATCCGGGCTGAGCGCATAGCGTCGTCCAGGGCAGATGGGTCAAAGACTCCATTGCCAGTTCCTGAGACGCCAACCGCATCTGTTCCAGTGCCGCCCACTCCAGCCCCAGAGACGGCTGATGATGAGTTTGCAGGTGCTGCCCCGGAGGATTTGCCTTTTAGTGCCGGTATCCCACCAGATCGTGCGGCAATAGGTAAGGTCCTTGAATTAGATGAACTGTTTGTTGAGACTTGCCGAATGAGAAATCGATTTCACAGACTTCACAAACTAGTAGGGGAAAACATGTTGTTCGAGTTTGCATGTTCCAATGATTCAATACTGGGTCAGGTGTCGACTTCCATTGGGGTAGAGTGCATTCGGCTCAGTCGGGACGTGTTGGACTTGACAGACCCGTTGCATTTGTCACAGGCCTTAGGTCAGGTCGATGCTGTGCCAGGAGCGGACACATGGGTCTCGGTTGTGTGCACTCATCACAGTCCGTTGCAGCACTTGAACAAACACCTGCACGGTCAACCATATCAAAAGAAATTGAAGAAGAAACAGAAGGAATCGATCGCCTTGCTTCGCAGCGCAGAAAAGTTCATGGAGAAAGTTCTGAGTCATGGTGGTCGGGTTGCCTTCGAGCTACCAGCAGAAAATGAGTTGTGGAAAGACCCACAATGGTTGGAGTTTGAGAAACACCAAGGGATGAAGCGGGTCTACTTCAACGGCTGTTCGCTCAACCTTCGGGGAAGACAGGGCAAACTGATTAAGAAACCATGGGCGGTCAGTACCACTGACCTTCGAATCATCCAATTTCTCTCTCAGCGCAAATGTACTGGGGACCATGAACATGAACCTGCGATGGGTGGAAACGCATCACAAACCGCATATTACGCCATGGAAATGGCATCGGTAATCCTAGAGGCCCTTTATCCCCACAAGTTCTATCGTGCCATCCCGTCTGTTTTGAGCGGTTCCGCCCTTGTCACACTCAATCTCAGCCGAAGTCAGTGGTTGAAAGATGAAAAAGGTGTGCAGGCCGTTCAGCACGAGGCACAAGGCCTTCGGCAAAATCAGACCTGGGATGATGCTTCGGTGGACACCATACAGAACTGGAAAGCATGGTCCAGAAACACAGGCATAAGGATTCACATTGCAGATCTGCTGACGCTGTGCGGCATAAAGCATTTTGAATTGGAGCCTTCTCAGTGGAAATACAAGGGCAGAATAGTATATAGGGGAGACAGAATTCGGGACACAGATGGCAACGTGGTCTTGTTCCAGGAGACCGCCACAAGTCCCACAGCCATCATTGCCTTGCAGATCACTCTATGGTTTGGGATGCTCCCAGATCACATCGTGACTTGTAGTGACGCCGTCCAAGCATTCTTGCAGAGTTGGTTGGACGAGGATGAGTACACACTTGTCCTCATGCCAAACGAACTCTGGTTGCCAAGTTGGAAAGCCAAGTTCGGAGAAGCGGCCAGGCTAGCAGTACGTCTGCAGAAGAGCTTGTACGGTCACCCAATGGCCGGAAAGTGGTGGCAGAATCATCTTTCTTCATGTTTGGTCTCGTTAGGTGGAATTGAATTGCAGGAACACCCCAGCAATTTCATTTTTCGGTGGAACCCAAGTGAGTATGGAGGAGAGGTGAATCAAGAATTCGTCCTTTTACTTAACGTGTATGTGGATGACCTGACCCTTAGCGGTCATCGTTCGTGCCATTCATCATTTTGGAAAGTCTTAACTGCCAAGGTAAAACTAGAGCCGTTCCAAGAGGTTGATGTTTCAGGTCACTTAATTTTGGGTCGCAAACACTTCATCGAGAGGAGTCCATCGCATACTAAGGTCACATTTGACATGCGTACTTATGTGGATCAGGTGGTTGGGACATACTGCGAACTGACAGGGATCACTCAACAGTCTCTCAAGAAGGTCACGACACCAAGCTTCCCTGAAAGCTCTATGACCGATCAGGAGCTGTCACAGACAGGTGAACTTAGTGGCTTGGCATCAAAAGTTCTCATGCGAGCGCTTTGGCTCTCACGGCTGGCAAGACCTGACATCAGCTTCATCGTTGGTCGTCTTACCACTATGGTGACCAGATGGTCGAGATTCGAGGACAGGCAATTGCATAGGTGCATTTGCTACCTTCATCACAGTCGGGACAAAGTCCTAGTCGGACATCTCGATCATGAGCATGAACATGAAATGTCAATAGAGGTTTACAGATAGCGATTTTGCTGCTTGCCCTCATACCGCCAAGAGCACATCTGGCATCCTGATCGCCCTCAAAACAGGCCAATCGATGTATCCACTGCATTGGTGCAGCCGAAAACAGTCCAGCGTTGCAAGGAGCACGCCGGAAGCAGAACTCATAGCGATGTCGACGGCGATGTTCACCGAGGTGTTCAACGTTCAAACCATGTTGGAACACCTTATGCAGCGACAGGTGCCTGTAAACTATAGGCAGGACAACCAGGCTGTGGTGCAAATTTTAGGGACCGGATATTCCGCAAAATTGCGCCATGCACCAAGGGTGCACCGAGTTAATGTGAGCTCTGTTCACGAGGTCCTCACTTCCGAACATGCCCATGCAGTTTGGTACACACAGACCACGGAGCAAATTGCAAATGGCCTAACGAAGGTGATCACTCCTGCCGAGTGGCCGGCCATGTTGAAGCAGCTGAGCATTTTCGACTTTTCTGTAAACTCTGAAACGTGAACTGGTATGTTTTTCTTGGAATTGGCCATGCTCCGGCGTGATGCTTTGGTTCCGGGAATCTGACACATTGCATGTACAGAACGAGGGGGGAGTTGATGGAAAGCATGTATAGAGCATAGCATTCCTTGACGTCTTCTCATGCATCATGTGTCACTCATCATTTTGCATACGCGACTTTGTATTTGGCTCAAGCACTGCGGAAAAAGGCGTTTGCGCGTGGTGCTTGCCGTTGTTACTAAACTACCAACTTTGGCTGTGGTTGGTGAGTTTAACTAAGTGTTCTGAAGAAGCACAGCTTAGGTTCTAGGTGGAAGATCAATGATGAGAATGATAGTCATATTTTTTTGCTTCTCTTTTGTTTGATGGCCGTGCACACATCATTGGAGGAGATGGAAGCTGAGACATCGGCCCATGCGCCACACGCAGAGCACGAAACACCGAGCGCTTCTGGGATCTTGGGCCAAGCAGAGGCCTGGGCCACTGGAAAGGCGCGGCCTTGGATTGCCTTTAGCAGCAAACAATAGTCTGGCAGGCTTTTCAGCTGCCCCTCTACGCTTGACATTCTACAAAACAAGCAGGTGGCTCCACGTTTGTATGAGAGCAGCATCCCTACTGCCAAGCGTCGACCGGATTGATAGACCGAATGATGGACCGAACGAAGCAGGTCCTAGATGCTTGGCATGTGCACCTGGAGCATCATCACGTGAGCGATGAGGAGCTTCAGCCCACCCTTACCAAAAAAACCCGGCGCGTGTTTGTTAGTGTCCCTGGTGTTACAAAAGCACTCATTTTGTGAGGAGTTGTTCTTCTTGCTCACTGCATCATACTAGACCATCTTCTGGTTTTGGGAATTGGATTTCCTTCCATTGAGCGTTGCTTGCTGTTTCAAGAGAACATATAAAGGATTTGCCCCAGCTCATGACTTCATGCTCGGAACTTCAGCAGGATGCTCTTGAGCGACCATGAAAGCCATTAGCAGCAGGGAATAATGAGAGTATAATGAGATAGCAGGAAGTGGACATGATTTGCAGGAAGTGGGCCAAGCGACCAGTTACTATTTTAGTGACATGGATTCGGCATGATCACTTTAAGACCCTGGAAACAGAATATTCTGAAAGTTTGGTATCCTTGGACAAGCCCGACGAAAAGGATCTACAGTAGAGAGATTTGGATCTTTTTCCGGTGTCGAACGCGCTGCTTGGCAGGAAGTGAAATCCCTCTTGACCTCAATGTTCCTCAGAAGCAACGGACCACGTGGGTCCTGGCGGGTGGTTGGGACTGGCACAGTGACGTGACGTGGGTCGCTGTGGTGTTGGTGTGAAGGAGGAGATCCCGGGTCTGCCGCGAAGGAGCCCAGGCTTCATTTTTCAAGTACTGAGCATGCTCCGTAGTAAGCACAGGTTCTCTAGAGACTCCAACGACAGGGGAAGCTTTCTCACATGCACTATGCGTTCCGCTGAAGCGTGAATCGGACTGCAGCAACTGAACCACAGTCAGTGTGATATGGGAGTGCCAGGTGGTGCTTGATATCTCATCAACATCAGGTTTGTCTCGCTGTTTTCCAGGATGCCCTACTGTATGCCCGGGAATGGTTCCACGGATGAACCTGGGCTGGACATGGTTCTCAGAACAACAGATCCATCGACCCTCGATCCACCAGCTCCGTGCCGAGAAACGTGATCCATCGACCTGCCATGCAGCCATCGGTGTCTCGAGGTCGACGTCCAGCTGTGCCTTTGTCGTCTTCCCGAGTCAAGAGGCTCAGGCGAAGGCAGACGATCGCAGGGTCTTGGGAGACGATGCACCCGTGGAGGGACGATCGCTCGGGGTAGACCTCTGGGCCCGTAGGGGCCCAACTTTTGTCGACGATCCTGCGGTTTGGGGAGCAAACATTGAGTTGAGCTTCCTATAACCCTGGAAGCTCTGGGTGAAAGCTCTTGGCGATCTATTTTGGTGTGGTTTCATGTTCAATGCGACTGGCCTGTTGCTGCAAGTTTTTCGGAGGCCATAGCTGCTGTAAAGACCTCTGGGGTGGCTGTGGATCAAAAGGCTTGCAAGCTGACGCCCTGTGTCTTGGATGGCAGTGATCAACGGATGGCTCAACCATCCGTCAACATCCGAACTTCGCCAAGGTTGGAGGTTCCTGGGGTCGGGAGAACCTTCGTCATGAGGGGTGTGATGGGTGTGACCCTTTGCTCGTTCAACGAGGAAGTTGAGACTCTTTGCTCCCTCATGATTCCATGCTTTTGATTTGTTAGACACCACTGAAGATTCGTGTGTTCCTCAGGTCGCTATGCGCCTGAAGGGCTCTTCTGGCACAACATGGGTGTGACTCCTGAGCAGCGCACACGTCGAATCATGCTGGCGCTGCTGGTCCCCCGGCTGATCCAGACCAAGCTGCCAAGGGGAAGGAGTCCGTAGGAGAGCCATTCGCAGCAGCTCTGGACGATTTGAAGTGCGGAGAACCCAATGGTGTCAGACGATTTCCAGATGATTTCCAGATCATTCTTGAGGCCTTGGCTGTGTCTTGCACCATCTGGACCTTCATCCTCTACATTCCGTGCGCATTGGGAGATGGCTATCAGTGAGGCTATCAGGGAGATTTGGTTTGTTAATCCAGGTTTGGGGAGAACTGCAATTGTTTCGGAGGATTAGGACGTCCAGCGGCTCTAGGACCTTCTCAGCGGCTTGGCCTTTGATGCACAGCCAGGAGTTCTCCAATCCAGCTTCCTGTCATAGATTTTGCATGTGCCACAAGACTGGGACCTTTCCTCCAGGTATGCGCTGTATATGTCATCTTTCTCCTATGCCAATGGCGATGAGCCTGGAGAGTTCTCAGAAGGTCTTTTCATTTGTTGCTCGGAGACCAGGGTGGGAATTGAATGTGGGGCCTGCAGGGTTTGACATACATACATGCATCCATGTTTCCGGCCTCAGCGTCCTTGGGGTGGGCTATGCAAAGCCCCATTTCATCCTGTTTGTTTGGAGAAGATCTCTTGGCCTCGCCAAAGCTGTGTCATTTCTTTACCTCAGCTTGCATTAGGCCGGCTTCAGGGTGTGGGTGTTGGGACGCCTCGTGTTGGTTGCCTCATAACCCCTTGAAGCAACACTTGCCCAAAGCACTCCTGACGTGGCCTCCAACCTAATAGCTTCTAGCTACTAGTAGCTTCTTGTTCCTAGTAGTAAGGCCAGGAGCCCCTAGTAGCTTCCTTGCTCCTAGTAGCGATGCCAGGAGCCCCTAGTAGCTTCTAGCTACTAGTAATGGCCTCCTACTAGCTCAAGTTCTGAGACGTCGTGATCTCAGGCTTAGTGGTGGGCTCGCAGATCGGTTTGTTCGTGGTGAGCTCCATGGGCGCGAAGCACGCGGCCTTTCACAGCGAGGACGAGACGCAGAAGGCGGCCGCGGCAGTCTGGGCAGCTTCGTGGTGGTTGCTGGGGACTCGGGTAGCTACTCTGATTCTGACTTACAGTTTCTTTGCGCGGCTGGGCAAAAGAACGAAGATGTGTTTCTGGGATGCCTTGCTTTTTGTGTGAGCAAAGCTCTTATGTGTATGTTCTTGATTCTCCTTGTGCAAATACAGCAGGAACCAGCAGTCGATATCTTCCAAAGTTCTACACCTTCAGCATACCTTCAGCACTTGATGCTTTTCAACGTTTTGTTCGATTTGCCACGACTCCTTGAGGCTCTCGTTCCAACGATCCAAAGGATTCACAACAACAAGTTTAAATCTTCGCTCCTGCACTCGCAACCCACATGAGTCCTTGTTGAACATGGGTGTGGGCATTGTCTGGCCGAAAGAACAATCCTGAGAGCCAACACCTCAAAGCACTTCCACTCCATTCGGAGCAGCGACTTGCAGTGCTCCAGGTACACCAGTAGGGAGCTCCAGGTGCACCAGTGGAGGATGTTCTCCTCCCTCCATCTGCAGGGCCGTCCGTTTTCGGACGCTCGAGCTGCGAAGGCCTACACCATGTACTACAATGCGGCTTTGAGACTTGGACCGGTCCACCTCCTTTGGGTGCCTCTGAGTGTGCATACAATGGAACATGAGTCGACATGAACCGCAAAAGTTCCCATTGTCCCATTGTATATACGTGATTTGACCAGCTTGCTTGTCTACACGGAGGTCCCTAGTGCAGAGGTATGGGTGCAGGGCTGTTGTGGTGTGGAGATTCTGATGTACTTGGTGTAAGTGTAAGTGTAATACATGAAGGCTCTACAACATGAATTGTTGGAGTGTTTCTGCACGCTGGGTGCAGGACTGTGGAACACGTCAGACATGTCATGCTCTAGTGAGCGTCTCCTTTTGATGCGTCCCACCGAAGATAGGATTCGCAGGACACCAATCTGCAAAAACAAATTTCTGCGACTTGGTGTTTCATTGGATTGGTTGAAGAGTTGAAGGTAACATCTACAGCAAAACCCATGGTGAACATCACCTTCACACTCGTCGTCTCGTCGTCGTTTTCCGATGTTTCCTTCCAATTCGATCCATTGAGCCCCGATTTTGGAACTCTGTGGAGCAAACGGCGGTCTGGGCGATCGACTGAACATCTCTGAGTTCCGTTTTCGTACCCATGAGATGTGATGGGCCAAGGATTTTGAATCTGATCCTGGACTTGGCCTTACAGACGCCTGGCGGAGTGTGGTGCCGGGATCGGTGGATCTTTCTGAAACATTTCAAACAGATGGCGGAAAGCGCTGGAACAGTGCAGGGAGTTGTTGAGCGAAGCAGTCAGGAGGCGGTTGGTGAGGGGCCATGAGCGCGTGGAAATGCATTTTTGATTTGCAGAGGTACGTGGGGTTGTTTTGTGGGTCCCGGTTTGTGTCTGTAAGGCACCTTCGGAAGAAGGGTTTCATGCGCAACTAGCCAATAAAATCTGTAGAATTGAGCGAAATTGTGTTGCAAGTGGCACATTGCAGCAAAGGGATTGTGTTGTGTAAGCGCCGAACCTCGCCAAAGGTGCGATTTCGGGCCCTATACAAAAAATCAGAACGGGTGCTCCTGGGAGATGTTTTTTGTGCAAAAAGTGATCAAGCACACTGTGCTTTACAATAGTTTTTGGCTGACACCTCACAAAAACCATGGCTTTGAGTTATTGGTTGCGCTTCAATTTGTTCAGACCAGGCCGACAAGGCTTAGAGAGAATACCGAAAAACCACAACACCAAAAAAGCAAAGTAATAAAACAGCAAAAAACAAACACATACAATATCAACAAAACAGCCCAAAAAACATCAAAATCAAAACACCAATGTTTGAGACAAAATGAAGGCAACAAAACAAGCAAAATACACATCCAAATCCTATAGTACCCTCATTTTGTCTCCAACAGCTTATTTTTTTAAAGAAATTTGTTGGTAGTTTGATTTGTTGTTTTTTTGGGTATTCTCTCTTGTAGAACATCAGACACCCCTTGGTAGGCAAATGCTTTTAAAACTGAGCTCCAAAAGGAAGCCTTCAACCTTCACAAGGGTTCTTTTGCTTTTTCTGTTGTTAAACATTTCCTTCTTAAGAGCATTCAGATTCAATCAAGGGAACGCATTACTAAAGAAGCTAATGAGCTAGACCAAGTTTCAACAGCAACAAGTTACTTCTTCTGGTGTCCTGTCTCAATAGGTGTTTCTATTGCTCCAATAGTTTGCTGCGTTTTCGTGAGTCTATTTGTGGTGGATGTATATAGTAATACAATTGAACCATTTTTGTTGCATTTGTACGTAGGTGTGGTTTTCTATAGAGCTGCTGCTACGGAGCTGGTAAGACTTTACTTGCTAGAATTGCTTTGCTGCGCCGCTGCTGCGATCTTGCTTCGGTGCATTGCTCTCGTACTGGGATCTCGCTTCGGTTACTCTTGCTGTTATCTTACTTCAGTAAACATGTCTGCAAGATCGAATTTGACGACGGTTGGAGTTAACCTCTACAAACTCTTTCCTTCCACGCTCCCGGGCCATCCGTCGTCTAGTTTGATAGGTTTGATCCAGTGGTGTGTGCTCTCCCAAGCACACCCGCTCTCAAAAAAGAACATGGCTTAGATTGCGTTAGCAACTTGGGGCTCCACAAAAAATGTGCGTGGTAAGGCTCCTTGGAGGTCATGTTGCGGCCATGTGGGGGGATGTTGGGCTATATTGAGGTTTGGACTCATGTTGGGGTTATAGTGGGGTCAGGGCCTGTAAAGCCTATGAACCCACAAAAAAAGTCCGCTTATGATGCTGAGTTGCAGCATTCGTCGCCGTGTCAAGACCTGGATGGGTCCACCTCTAAACAGGTCCGCTTGGTCTGATTGAGAGGCACATGGCTGTGAAACTAGGTGGCGTCAAGCATCACACCGATCAACGTCCTAAAGCACTGGTGTGAGGTGCAGTCAATATGCTCGGTGTGTACCTCTCTGGGTTGATACTCAATACTGGGCGGAAGGTACAACCTGGCCTGTGTGATGGGCGCCTTAAGGACGTACCTTAGCTACTTGCAGATGGTGGGCGTCGGTGCACATACTTCGGATGGACGACTCCTGGGAAGCCTGGCCTCTTGGTGCCGAGCTGAGCCGAAGGGCCCGGGTGAAGGCATGCTTCCTGAGCCTGCCAGTTGGTGCAGGTGGTCGAACAACTGCGGGTTGGCAGGGGGGATGTGGGAGACTCCAAATGGAGATTTGCAGAGCATGCCCTCAACACGGTTCATTGTTTCCAGTACCTTCCGGACTACATTCTGCGGGCCACTGTTTGCTAGATTGTTTCTCATGAGTTTCTAAGACCGCACAGAAGCAACGGCAGGACCGGTAGGATTGATTCTGTGGGCCTCCCCGCATCAGCTGCCTGAAAGAAAACCCAAAGTGCCAGATGCTCAGGCACCAAGCAGGACAACATGGGTGAACTGCTAAGATAGAGAAAACAGGGCAAAACCGATGGTTTTCCGAGCCACACCAGCGCCTTGAGGAAAGCTTCCAAGAGATTTTTGAGTCCTACCCAGTGCAGAAGTCCATGGGTAAGCTCCTTTTTGTGCAGCTTGTGTCTACATTACTTCAAGAAATTCGAAGCGCATTCAGGGTGTCTGTGGCGATTGATGCCACACTGTTTCAAAAACTGGATGTTGATTCATCCTCCATCCCTGGTGGATATTGTTTGACACAGTCGCACAGCTTCTAGTAAACTTGGCCGAATGGAAGCTCTCATTCAGCTTGACGGCTGTATGGTTCAGCAGGTCAAGAAGTGGTTTTCTTTGGTTTATGATTGTTGCCAGCACTCGCTCGGATCGAATCCAAGATGCCGCAGGTGAAAGTTCCCAAGGGCCCAAGAAGGGCCAAGGTCCTTAAAGATGGGTCATACTGAGAGTCATACTTGGTGCTTTCGGATAGGATGGAAGGACGAAGCGTGATTCAGAATCATTGAGGTTGTCAGGGAAGATGTTTGTTTATAACTTTATAACTTGGCTTCCAGGAGTTGGCTGCTACGGATTTCGGAATCGTGGTATCTCCGAGCCGCCGGTCACAAGAGACTCTGGAGAAGTTGTGGCTGTCATGGATCACTTTGCCGGGTGTTTGTACTCCGACTTGCCCTCCACACTTCCAAGGTATTGCTGGCCCTGTACATTCTTTGTGCCTTTTTTGGCGGAGCCCTTCGCAGTGCAGTGGCTGCCACAACACTTGGGTCCTTTAGTGAAAGGGTGGGAGTGTGACACACGGATGGGTTTGAGGTACTGATCCAACTTTATGTTTTGGTTCTGTTCCCGGCCCAAAAGTCCTCTAGCTTCTTCGGGGCTGTTGGTCCTCCTTTTCAGGGCAGCTGTTTCACCGCTGGTGCGTCCGGTTCTGCGTCCAACCCGGTCCAACCCGCACCCTCCACGAAACGTGTTCGACAAGAAGGGACTTGTTGGACACCAAGAAGGGATGATGTTGCACAGACTATTTAGCCTCCAACCCAATAGCAATGGCCTCCAACCTAGCGATGATTTGGGACCGACTTTCCAGGACAAGGACCGACTTTCTTGACGATGGATCCCCTAGGTGTAGATTTGCTAGAGGCTATGATGATTGAAATTTGCATGTACGGAGTGCGGAATTCTTCTGACTTTGTGTGTGTGCATGCTGAGTCCCCTTCCCGAAGCCTTGCTATCCACATCAAATTAGGCAAGGTTTCGTGACCAAGCATTTAGATGAATGCACCGGTGCTTGTGGAAGGCCTGGCCCAGTGAGCTTGGCCAACATGTCATGTCAGGGAAACTTCCCTTTGGATTAAATTCCCTTTGGATTTGAGCCCAGGCAAATAAACAGTTGGCGGTCGATGGTCGAGGCAAGTCTTTTGACCGGTATGTATTGCCTGGGTTCATGTTCTTTTCATTCGATCCATAGCCCCACCGCCAGGCCAGGCCCCACTGCACCGGTCCTCTTCAGGTCAGAAATTGGTGGGTGCCGACAAGCGCATCAAGGGTGAGAACGCTGAGAAGGTGCGATGGCTATGAGCGCATCGATGCGGGCGGATTCGGCCTGGGGCATGTTGGAGCGGACGTTCTTTTGTTGTCCCATTGGCGGTGATTGGTGCGGTTTTGATGCACCATTTGAGTTCTATGCACTATCTATGCACTATCTTCTCTTCTCTCAGTTCTTTCACACAGCGTGTCGCTACCCATGCTCTTGATATCTCTTGATGATGTGTACTGATGATGACCAATACCCACGTTCCCATATCACACCTGACGGACAGGGAGACCCTCAGTTTGACCCCCTGGAAGAAGAAACATGGACCAGTCTACCCATTGGTTGCGAATTCTCCCTATCAAAACATACACCCATCTGCTAAACAGCTTCCCACTGCTCTTTTCCTTCCTTCCCAACTTCGCTCTCTTCTTCCAAGGCTCTGGAACTCGGAGAAATGGAGCAAGGCCGTTACGCGGCCCCTGGGGCGAGACGGGAGGAGGATGGACGGGGTGGAGGATGGAGGGGCGCCCTGGGGTCAAGTGATGGGGGTCTTGGGAGTTGATGACAGGGAGTATATGGGGGTCTCAGTTGAATGGGTTTCATATCACCCTAACCCAGTGCGTTTGGCTGGTCAGCAGTTTCTTTGTCCTGCCGACTCAACTCAGTGAGCTGGTGTCCGCAGAAGAGCATTCTGCTTTGCTGCTTCAAGAGATCAAGGTTGACAATAAAAGGGAGTGCTCTTTGTGAAGTCACGGGGAAATCACCATGGTGCAATAGAACCTGCGTCCAGAAACTGGGAGGCCTCGAAAACTGCATATAGACCTGGCCACTTTTCCATGGTCAATCATTGGGGAAGTGAAGACCACCATGCCTGGGATGGCCTCGAGCTCCTAATGGTCCTAATCTCGTGTTGGCCCGGGAGCTCGCTCTCACCCAAGTTCGAGCTTTTTCCCACGAAGCTTTGGAGGACAAGCTGAATCATTCAACTGACATCAGCTCACCTGCAGCTGTGCCGTCCCACGAGTTTGAGAGGAATATATCGTTTTTGAGAGGGGTGGGGGATGGAGTCCTGGTAGAGTAGACCTTTGAATCTGTTTTGTCCACCTTTTTTTTATCTGAGTCCCTGTTCTTTGCAGGGTTCTTGAGATTTCTGGGACCATTTCAAATCCTCTCTGAGGATTGCATCTTCAACGTCATCCTGGTGGTTTGTATTCCATTTATCTCCCCGGCCTATCTTGCTCTAACCTTCGCCGCGCTGATCTTCTCGCACCTCTACCTCTACCTCTACGACACGGTGAAGGCGAGCAAACCCCACCGATGCAAACCCCAACGCAGCCGGTCGAAACCGGACACCGGACGGACTCGAAACAAGGGGTCGACGGACTCGGGGCAGGTGCTGCGGTATGTCCGGAAGTTCAACTTCAGCGGCCCAGAGGCGAAGAGCAGAGGGGACCGGGGGGGATAAAGACCCGCTCCGGGGGCAGGACCTGGATTTGTGCAGTGAAGGGTGCTAAAAGAACACTCATGGTGGAGCTGTTTGATGTGAAAGATGGGTTTGCCAGTCAGTCCTGTTTGGTCATTCTTGCACCGCGATCCTTTTTTCACTCCTCAACACTCCTCAGCAACTAGTAACTGCTGTGGGCCCACCAGGCCCTAACATTTGGATCTTCTCCAGCCGATGTTTCCTCGCCTCGCCCTGCGCGACGTCCACCAAAAAGAGTTCACCCTCGTCCTCGTCTTTCCTCCATCTTTCCAGGTCCACTGGCTGGGCATGCAGCTCTTCGCGCTGCCGGTCGCCATCTTGGCCGCCTGTTTACTCTTCAAGGCCCTCAGCTGCTCCGCGGAGCGGACGATTCCGGAGCGAAAGCGGCACGCGCGCGCGCTGCCGCACGTGTCCGCCGTTGAGAAGGGTCCGAACCAAAACGCAAACAACGCGGTCCTTCGCCGATGAAACGGTCCACAGGGTTGGGCTCCAGAGATGGGGCAACTGGACATCCCAAGGCTTCCCCTCTGCCAGGCGTCTTTTCTCAACGCCAGGCCAACCAGATGTCCGGTGATGGGACGCTGGGCTCTGGCTTCCTCAAGGCACCGACATGCGAACAAGACGTGTGGGACGTCGGTCGGTGAACATCCGAACATACTCCTTGCTTGTGACATGGTGTGTTCCTGGTGTTAAATGACCATGATCAAAGAATGGTCAGGGCATGAGACTTTACGAACGACATAGAGCCATTGGCCGTTTCGACTTCACCACCAGAATCTTTGTGTTTGGTCTTTTTTTGCGAGTGTACTTCCCCGGTGTCCTACATGTTTCCCTAAGCCTAGCGCAGCGTTCAGGGTCGAATTCGGGGACGAACGTACACACGTGTGTTGATGACGTCGGTCCATCATCCTCAGTTGTCTCTCGAAAGGGCTACTCCTTGGGCCTTGCTTGTGTGGGCGTCGCCCTCCTGCACTTTGTGGTCCACTTGTGCGTGCTGGAGTACATGGTGAAGCCCATGGCTGACCAGCAGGAGGACTGCTGTGGGGTAGGGAAGTGGGACATTGATTCATCCAGCGTTTTCATTCAGAAGGGCCGCAACACAGGACTGAATGCTTCCATGTTAGGACTGTGCAAGCGTTGGGACTTCCATACTCTCAAGAGCAGTATTGTACAATGGCTCGATACCAACTTGGCGTCAGGCATTTCGCACAACATGGGGGCATGTCAAACCACTTACATGCATTCGGGGAAAACATCTTGAATCTTGCCGAGAGAAGAGCAACAAAGCCGGGTCAGCAGTGGATTTCTGCCTTGGCGAATCCCAGAAAGCTTCACGATGACAAGAAAACAGTAACTTGGACATGTGCAAGAGACTGTTGAAGAGCTTACCTCTGGCAAACATTTCCTGGAGTATATTGAATGCCCAAATCAGAACAGGTTTAACCCCAAACCTTTCCGAACGAGGATTCCCTCGATTGAGGTGTTTGCCATGTCTTGTTTCATTGTTTCACCTGCTTCTTTGGAATTTATGAGGAAAAGGGATGGACACAGATATTGTATTTGTCTTTTTTCAATGCTTTTTGGCACCCCAGGAGCAGAGCTCGGCGACCTATGCGGAGGCCGCCAAGAGCTGCCCGGCCACCTACCTCTCAACGAATCCCATCCACTGCCCGGGCGCCTGGACACGCCTGGCCTGGTGCGCCCGGCGTGCGCCTGAAGTGGAGATGTTGGAAAGATCGGAGGTGAAGCTATTGAAACGATTTTTGCTCTGTTTTTTTGTTTTTTTGTGATCCCGCCAAGAAGAGAAGTCAACAATAGAACTTGGATGCTTTGCCCCGCTTTGCCCCCGGAAGAGTCCGCAGATTCTGCAGACCACCGAGGCCTAAGATCCAAGTACATCCTGAAGCACAATCCTCCGCAGGCGTGCGTTGGAGCTCGGCGGACACCGTGGACACCGTCCTCCGTCCCGTGGCCCTTGAGGGGTGATCATCCCAACGGACAGACATCACACAGCGAAAAGCCTTTTGGCTCACTAGAGGATCAACGAAGAGGGTTGGATAGATATGAAGAGATGCTCAACACATAGAGAAAATCAGCAGGTTTTCTCGGATGCACAATGACTCTCACAAGACTTGCCAAGATTCCGTGGGGCCACTGTGTGGTATTTGGTGGCTGATTGCCAAACGGGTTTTATGATGGCTCTTAGAATATTAAAAACAACACCAATCTTCAGTGATGGAGACAAGATTCTCTCGGCAGCAGAGTCGGTAAGGCTAACGGTAAGGCTAGAAACCTTGAAAGACAGCAAGTTCGATCAATTCTATCTGCAGCTGCATCTCAACTCATCTACTTGGATCAAGAACTCATCTTTGGTGTATTTCTTGAAGATGCTGCGGACGCCCCGGGTGGACGCCCGGGCGTCTAGACGCCCGGTCGTCCAGCCGCGGCTGGAACCAGGCCTTCTACGCGCCTGGAAAGGAGAGTCTGGCGAAGACGAACCCAGAGAGCCTGGGCTGGGCCAACGTTTCATAAAAAGTCCTTAATGAAATGTTCGCTGGCTGAAAAAAAGGAAAAGCCGATGCTGGGATGGCAAGACGTTGAGGGAGATCCTTTCATTTTGGTAGGTAGTCTTCCTTGACCCGGTATGCCTTGCAGTTCGAGGTTCACAGCCCCAACGGTCTCCAAAGCGGCTACTGGTTGCACCTATTTTGGGGATCCTTTGGGTTCATATTTCAATCGTGAGACCCCCTAGCACATGGGTTTATGTTTGCTCTTCCCGCTCAGATGTCGCTGTGGAGTTCTCTCACCGCTCTGGAGGTGACCCTTCGAGTACGTATCAGCTTAGCCCTGATGAGTGCGAACTGCAGACAGCAGCGAGCGAATCAGGCAACTACCCTCCCACGCTGCCTAGAATGGCTTCGGGTGGTGTCTTCATTGGGTCTGGGCATTGCTACGATTGTCGAGCAACAAACCTGCGATTTGGGAGTGCCCAAGCCCTGAGCCTCTAGCCCCAGCCAAGCCCAGCTGGGACCGATTAAGACAAAAGTCCATCAAGATCCATCAAGAATCAAGCAGTTGGCCCGCGTTTGTGGGTGTATCACTTGCTTTTTCCCCACCCACTCTATATAAGTGTGTGGAAAAGGCAAAACACACATATAATGCAATCGGCACAGCACCATTCTCAGGATTGGCGCCTACTTTGAGTTCCAGGAGAAGGGGTTGAAGTAGCTCCGCAGACAGATCCAGCTTCCGGAAAAACGAACGGCGGCCGGGAGAGGGTGTCCCACTCCGCTTAGATGCTGTTCGTGCTACGTGCAAGTCATGTAAGTTGATGTTCCTTGGATACTATGGTACGGATATTGGATACTCTAAGATGGTGGCGGATAAAATGAAGGCACAGGGCCTTAAGATTGTTTTTCAGCTTAAGGTGGCCCCGACTTTTTCTCACGGTCAAGCACCATTCGTGTTAAGATAACTCCACCTGCTGGGAGGGTCAGGAGAAGGACCTTGGTGCACTCTTGGGATTAGTGCAGTTCTTGCGGTAACAATCTACACTCATCTTGCTTCCAATTTTGACATCCAGGGTTGGAGTGTGCTTGACCCCTTTAGACGAAGACATAGTGACATAGTGGTCTATTCAGAACGAACTTTGGAACTGCAGGCTTATCATAATTAACAAATTATGTATATATCTATTAGGTTGGAGGCCAGCGCTACTAGGTTGGAGGCTTATCATAATTATCTCTCTTTTTCTTCACTGACCTCTTGAGCCGATTTCTGACACTTCCGTAAAGGGCCAGTGTCCATGATCATTGTTCCTACGTCTGACCTCCTGGACGTGTTTAGTTTTATTCTCATCTTTGGGGGGACGATGGGGGACGTCTGGGTCCAGAACAAGGGCTTGCAGGATCTTGCAGGCGTCCTTGGAGATGAAAGAAAGTGTTCCTTTTTTCTTTGTGGTTTCCCTTTTTGAGGCCGCATGTGGCGAGAGTCAGCCAGAAGCGTCCAGACGGACGGACCGCACCGGACCATACCCTTTGATGTTCAATTGTCAAGTCCAACGTCTCCCGCACCCCCTACTGAGCTGCGAGTCTCGAGTCCAGGTGCAGAGCATCTCTTGGATCAGCAGGAGGAGGAGGCCCCACAGGGCCCGGGCCGTGTGCTGGTGGGTTTGTTCTGGAAAGCATGGATCATCTTGTAGGCAGGCATTAAGAATTTCTTAAGAATCTTTAGAGTTGTTCATTCTACAATTCTTACAGCTCCATAGGGTCCATAGACCTCTATGCAGGGTGTTGTTCCATGGACCTCTTCAAACAACGATTCGCGCCCCGAGTCCAGGAGGATGGACCGGTCGCGATTTCGGCGACGGAGACCCGTCGACCGGCGAAAGGCGAAAGAGGCCATTGCTCAAAGCTCCAGCCAGTGGGGGGACCTGAGTCGACCTGAGTGGTCTCAAAGCACCACTTGGCGGTCTTCGAAATCGAAGGGCGGTCTTGGCAGTCTGACGTACGGGAAGAAGGGTGGTCAGTCCGAAGTGTCGGAACAGGGTGAAAGCCACTGACCAATTGCTGTTCTGCGAGGAGGTGGGAGCTAACATGTAGGCCCCGACCTTGATGAAGAGTTTTTCATTGGATCCTGATCTTGGAACAACCGTTTTTGTTCTCCAAATACCAACCATTCCACATAAACAATAGAGGAGTCAGGCAGATCTGGGCAGTGCAACTTTGTACATTTTAGAGTGAGAGTTCACTGACATTTTCATCCCAAAAACTGGGTGTAATTAACATGGACCCATCTGTGATATCGTTCTGGACGCTTTTTCCCGGCGAGGTAGCGTCTGGTAGCTTGGTCCCCCAGCTTTCACGAGAGATGCCTTTTGGGGGGTGCCCGACTGCATTCAGACTGATATTTCAACCCCCGAGGCCAGGGCAGAGTTTTCTCAATCCATGTTTCGGGGGCCTAATAGCGTAGGAGCAAGGCCGCTACTAGGAACAAGTGCATCGCTACTAGTAACAAGTGCCTTACTAGTAGTAACAATGGTCGCTATTAGAAACAAGAATGAACTCAGTTCTACTCTGGTCTCATCCTCACCGATCCTCGTGAGCTCCAGGGTTCAGGAAGCCCTTCATCGTGAGGAGGTCGCCTTGGAAAAGCTCAAGGTATCGCCCATCGACCGGACAGAGCCAAAAAGACAGGGGGATGGGGATGGCATGGTTGTAGGATGCCAAGATGCCATACTGAAGGAAAAGTGGCTGGTTGCAGACTCTGAAAGAGTTTAGTGGATGGTGAATCAGTGCTTAGCTTGTGGTCATTCCGACATTCCACAGTATTGTAGGCCACATGTGAAGTGGAACAGCACTTTGAAAGGTGAGCATCCCATGCTTGAGCTGATTCAGCCTGGAGAGGTGAAGGCAAAAGGTCTCAAAACGTTTGGCAGGTGTGGAGGATGAGATGTCCCCACTACGTATGGTTTTTGTTTCTCGCTGAGCATGCGTGGGATGTGTGGATTTCTTATTGGACATTTCTCTAGGAAATTAATAAGAGGAACAACTAGAAGCCAAAATCAATATTTGCCGATACGTAGTTTGCAGGTACTTGTTTCACCAAAAGTCCAGATCGCGAACGCAGAGGTAGAGTACCTAGATGCTCAGAACCTTTGGGAAGCCTTAGGCTTCGTCCCTCGAACGGTCAAAAGCCTAAGACCTCCGCCCTCGCCCGCTTCGCGCCGTAACGCCGCCGCTTTACGTCCGTTGCAGGCCGCGAAGACGGCCAAGGTGGAAGCAGCACAGAAGACCCACCAGGCCACCCGGTCCAGTGGTGAGTGGCCGCCGAAAGCGAAAAGCTGCAACGCTGGAACCAAACCGACACCTTCTGGAAGACTGCAGATATTTCCAAGCATGTGGCTGTGCACCGGGAAAGGTAAGTTAGGGACTTCTTTTTGAATCAAGAAGGGTGCTACTGCGGTCCCGGTTTGCCGGAAGTATGATGTGAACTTCGCTTTCATCGGAACGGTGTCGCTGTGGGGTTTTGTGAACCATGCCTTCATGGCACGGTCCAAGCCAACATGTGCTTTTTGGGCGATGGATTCGTATTTGGCCCGAAGAAGACAAAAGAAACACCATGTGTCTCATGATCAGTGCAATTCCGCATGACGACTGAAGCTTGTTTTCTCTTGGATCTTTGTAGAACATCATAAAGGCCCCTGACCAGAACTCCTCATGTGGCTTGCGAGGCCTCTGAAGGGCGTGCAGATGTCGAGAAGACTGTCCGGCGCAGAGATTCGTCAGAGTTGTGAACCTGTGGTTCTGCAAGACCAGTCAGTCACCAAGTGTGATTCACAACTGCCATCATTGAACTAAGGTCAGGGTGGCTCTGTGTTTTGCTTTCCGATAAGGGTAACCTTTGAAGAACAACACACATCACGAGACATCGGCTCGCCTTACCCCGCTCGCTTCGCTCTTAGGTGAAGGTCCTCGAGCTGCACATGGAGGGAAACCAGAAGGCCAGCAACTTCTGACGGAGCTGGATCTGCGACGAGATTCGAAGGTCTCTCAACAGAGACGGAGTAGTTTTAAGTTCATCTGAAGATTGCTTCCGCCACAAAAGAATTCAAAGCCTTTGCGATCTTGGTGAATTAATTAGGAATCCGACCAGGGATCAACCCACTAGTGGATGAGAATTCTTCTCAAGCCAGAATTCAACAAACGATTGATTTGAAGGTAGCTGTTGGGTGGCACGTCTCACCATCCACTGAGAAACTCCCGGTTTTCGGCCTGCGAACGGTCGCACTTTTGGGCGTCGAAGTCTTCGATAGTTCGGTGCAGATCCTGGATTTGGAGCGGCAGAAGAAGGAGGCCGCTGCAGCACTTGAGGCAGCCAAGAAGGCCGCGCAGTCACGCAACTCATGAACGTTGGTGGAGGATCCGTGGATGAAGATGACGTAGTGGAGGATCCGCGATCCGTCCGAAGGGGGTGTTTGTGTGTGTGTGTTTCTTTTTCTTTTTAAGGTATGGTATATAGTGCCGGTTGTGATTGTGAGTGCTTATCCTTAGGTATTTGGAGGTCGATCGGTTTGACTGCAACCTTGACAGGGAAGAGGGACCGCCATTTTTGAAGGCTTCGTCGTCCGGTTTGTTGTTTGTGCTTTCTTGTTCCGATTTTGCCAGAAAATGGGAACAACAAGGTCTGAGCGCGAAGAGCTGTGAAATTCAGTTATATAAACCAGGCAATTCTTGTTGCGTAGCTCTGACAGATTCAGATTCGTGCTCTGGATTGTCATACGCACATGATCACCTCAATTTGGCACTCTTTCTCGACCATCGGTTCTTGTCCAAAATGGTTTGTAGATGGATATCAATTTTGCACTCTTTCTCGACTTCGGGATGATATCAATTGCTTTTCTGGAAGCCAGATGGAAGCTACTGTATAGCTCCACTTGAGGGTTCCAAAGGGACCCACGAAGGGACCAGAAGGACGTAATTTCTTTGAAGAAGACACCATGTGGATATTTCCTCAGCAATGCCACGTTACCCACTATGATGGTCATCAACTATCATCTATGTCAATGAGCTCAAACCATATTTACAGCAAGTGTTGTCCGTGTCCGGAGTGTGCCATGCAAACCCCGAAGGCCGCTGAAGAAGCGAAGAAGAGGGAGAAGGAATTGGCCGAGGAGAAGAGGGAGAAAGAGTTGGGTTTCAACCTTCAAAGGCCACAAAGTAAGTCATCTCCTTTAATAGCGATGGCCTCCAACCTAAGAGCGATGGCCTGCAACCCAAAGGGGAGAAAGAGTTGGGTTTCAACCTGTTTCAACGCTCCCCAAATGCTGACTGTGCTCCCAGCCCGGTCACTCGGGTGACCTCGAAAACGGTGACCGAATCAAGTGACCCCAGGTATCCAGGTCGGTCAACTGGACTGAAGGATCAAGCAATCTCTTCATCACTTGCTGTGTGTTGTGGTGTTGTGTTTGTTGTTTGTGCATCTCTTCATCACTTTAATCAAGTGCACGTAGGCACGTAGGCTAGACCAATGGCTGCATGAAGCGTAAGCGTTTGATCACCGTGATCCGTCATTGCCAGTTAATAGTCGGGGACCATCCTGGACGGTACACCAATATGAACTGGACTCCTGTGAGATGGAGCCCCAACCAACGAATTGGCAGACTATTGTGCGCTTATTTGCTCTTTGAAAGTTGTAGCAGTGTGCTAATATACACCCTGCTGGAGGGATACTAAGAAAGCACAAGAAAACGGATCTTGGAAGAGTCTCCCTCGCTGGTGGCCAGGAATGGAACTTGGCTTGCTACAAATCCTCTCATATGGGCGGAGTCACTGCTTACCATTTGGACATCCACATAAGCCAGGTCCTATCCTCTCTGAACGTTTCTCAGGTTTTCTCGTGTGGCAATGACCGTCCTTGCATCTGGAAACCACGGTCCGGCAGTCCTTTACGGTCAGCGTCCGGGCTTTCTGCGTGGCGGACGGATATAGCGAGGAGAGCAAGGCCGCATTGCTGGAGCAGAAGAACAAAGCCAGCGAGACCCTGAGGCCGAACGGACAGGAGTTGGCGTCCGGGCACCAGTGTGTTGGCCAAGAGTGTGTTGGCCTATTTTGGTATTTTTTGTGGGTTCAGTTGGGAGACGATGGAACAGGGAATTGGGTGGAAAACACGTGAGAACGAGAAACGTGGACGTTGTTTGGCAGTGGTGTGCTTCCGGAAGACACGCCGTTTCTGGGAGTTTGATGGCTGGGTAATATAGATTGGGTAATGGTGATTTGTTTATCACTTGGTTGTGCTAGGTCAGGCACTTGTCCATGATTCGTGTAAGTGTATGTTTTTGCACGGTGTGGAACTGCAATTAGGAGTCTTCCAAGCCAACAGCCCACTGTTTCCACGAGCGCCTGTTTGATAGATTGCCCAAGGCAGATGGCATGTTGAGAAAGGGTGATTGCAATCTTTGCCTGAGTGCATGGTCTGCCAATGACTTTGACTCTCA